CCTTCTCTCTCTGTAAATCTTCCTCTCGCTGGTTTGGCGATCACCCTCGGTTAATCTACTCCTTCCTCCGGCTCGACTTCCAACGCAATCGCTTCCCTAGAAGATTCAATCTTCCTTAGTGCCGTTTCTAGGTCAGGAACCTGAGAAAAAAGAGGAAAAGCGCTGGAACAAGTGGGATGTTACGAGGAAGTCGAGGGAGGCGGGAAAAGAGGCAGACAATGATTCTTTCTTAACGCGGCGTCGCACTCTCTGAATATCGCGCTGAATCTCTTCAAGGGTGCTCGGCCAGTCCAACGGAGCAGGGGTTGTAGAGGGGAGCGGATGCTCTCCAGAAGAGGACGAGGAGGAAGACCGCGAACGACGGCTTTTCCCGCTACCAGCTGCCAAGAGAACGTAAGAGAATACACAATGTCGCATATAACCGTGCTCACCAGACGTCACGCCAACGAAAACCCAAAAGGAGTCGGTGAAAACGATCAAATCGGCTTCTTCTTGAGCTTTTGTCAAAATTTCGTCGAAGTCCTTGGTCATAAAAACAAACAAACAGAAGAGATGGATTCATCGTTCTCTACTAATAGACTGCCAAAAAGATCTCCACTAAACTTGTCAAAGGAAGAGAGAGTCTTCGTCTGGCACTGGGCTGTCTGCGATGTCAGTCATGTCTGGGAGCTTATGCCGAACATGCTATTGCCAAATCTGCTTCATGACGTTTGCTACCACCTCGTTTTGTTTTTCTTTTGGGATCTCTGCGGCGTCATTATCTGTAAGGATAAATTTCATCTGTCTGTTTTGCTCTCTTTTTAGGCCCCACACTGCTGCAACTGGATCTGCTCGGAGCTATTCTCTTTTTGCATGTTTTCTTGGTGCTGCTTCTGTGTTCCAGGGTTGTTGGCGTTTTCTGTTGATGTGGGTTTCGGTAAACTTCTTGTCAATATCTCTTCTGCTGTTGTTGTAGGGGCGCTTGTGGCTCTGGAAGGCGATGGTTCCGTAGGTTGGGATGTAGAGCAGTGCATGGTCCGAAAGATCAGTCTATTCAACGCTGACATCTGGAGTGGTTGCTGTTTGCTTTATAATGATTCTGTCGAGTGTTCTTGTGGTGCCATGTCCTCTTCGCCTCCAGGTTGGGTCGTGATTCAGGATTTTTCTGTTGGTGTCCACCACTAGTTGCAGTAGTATGTATGCCTTCTGTTCGTCCATGTTCTTGTCCTGCATTCAGATCCCCACTTATGATGTCTAGGTCGTCTTCTCCAACAAGTTGTTCCATTTCCTTGTAGAACAGTCCACGACCAGATCACTCTCATCAACTCCAGCCAGATTTCAGAAGGAGTTGTCCGCATAGTCCATTTGTTTCATTTGTCATCATCCTTACTAGGAGGCCTTTTGCCAAGTCACAGTTGGGCTATTCGTTTTGTCTTCTGGGCGAAACCTCCCGCAACGTTCAGAGATCCCACTTTCAATTGTTTTGGTAGAATTCCCGCATTTCTAGAGCTTCTTTTTGGTGTCCTCCCTTCGACAATGGACTGATCACATCTGTTTGCTACTTTTCTCATAAGTTCGTACTGCATGGCTTGGCGAAAGTGCGTAACTCTTTGACATTCGTGTTAGTTGTTCTGCTGTCATGATTCCTACACTCTGGTGTTGGGTGATGGTGCACGCACTCTGTTGTTCAGTTGGCAGGCTTCTGACATACCAGCTGTCAAGTTTCCTCTCTTTTAAGAATTCTCGTAGGATGTTAATGGCTTCTTGTGGAAATTCCATCGTTGTCAGTACGGTGTGTAAGTGGTCGAAGGAGAAGGACAGGAAGGCGTTTTCGAAGTCATACCAGACTTGATACTGACTTTTTCGGTAGCGTTGCCAAGTACCTAAAAAACAGGACTGCTTCAAGCAGAAAATAGCGCACAGCAGCTTACACGTTCAAAATCTCGAGACACGAACTGCGAAACATCATTCAAGTCAAAATTCAACCTTGGCTGCAACTGCTCCAACATCGCGGTGGAAATGGACCCGTGCTCACTTGTTCTATCTCGGATATAACGCCCCGCCTCAAGCAGCCGTATGTATTTTCCCTGAAACTGCTTTTGCATCTCTTTAGGCAGTTTGTGATAGTTAGGCTCCTAAGAACATTCAGAGGCGCTCCAAAGAACACCTCGTCCGCCATGTTCCCCACTCCCGCCTCCTCGAACAACTAGTCTAGGTCTTTCTCGTTGCCAAGTTTCAGTTTCTTCGTGTGCTGTATGTATTCACTCACCTGTAGCTTGGTTGAGCCCCGGATTGATAAAGTCCAGTACAGCATGGCAAGTGCAACCACTGACGAGAATCCAATAATAACCTGAACAAGTGGTGTAAGAAAGCTTGCTGGGATTCCGATAGGCATCGTGCCGCATAGTTTGGCTTTCGTGTCAATATTCGTAACAATGGAATCAAAGAATTCCAATGATCGCAAATGGATAATTGGCATAGCTGTTTGGCAAAATCTCACGCAAGCCAGGATCGTGATCACGCTCAAACTGACAAGTCCCAGAACCAGAACCCGCTTGAGGAACGGAATTATCCTTACAAATAAATACCCAATAGTTGCGGCAGTTGCGCAAAGTGCGAGGACGAGAAGAGTTAATGCAATCATGTTAATTTGGTCTTGAACAAAGCGAATGAAAACCTGATTCACTCCTAAAGCTAACAGGTGCGTAAAAACATGAAGGAACTGACATGCAACGGTAATAATGGGACGCTGAATAAATGGATAGTCCCTAGAATTCCGATACTATTGAAAGACACAGAGAACAACAATGAATGGAAATAAATATGTACGTGGGTTGCGGTGGGTTGCTATTGATGGGTGGGTTGCTATTGATGGGTGGGTTGCTATTGATGGGTGGGTTGCTATTGATGGGTGGGTTGCTATTGATGGGTGGGTTGCTATTGATGGGTGGGTTGCTATTGATGGGTGGGTTGCTATTGATGGGTGGGTTGCTATTGATGGGTGGGTTGCTATTGATGGGTGGGTTGCTATTGATGGGTGGGTTGCTATTGATGGGTGGGTTTGCTATTGATGGGTGGGTTGCTATTGATGGGTGGGTTGCTATTGATGGGTGGGTTGCTATTGATGGGTGGGTTGCTATTGATGGGTGGGTTGCTATTGATGGGTGGGTTGCTATTGATGGGTGGGTTGCTATTGATGGGTGGGTTGCTATTGATGGGTGGGTTGCTATTGATGGGTGGGTTGCTATTGATGGGTGGGTTGCTATTGATGGGTGGGTTGCTATTGATGGGTGGGTTGCTATTGATGGGTGGGTTGCTATTGATGGGTGGGTTGCTATTGATGGGTGGGTTGCTATTGATGGGTGGGTTGCTATTGATGGGTGGGTTGCTATTGATGGGTGGGTTGCTATTGATGGGTGGGTTGCTATTGATGGGTGGGTTGCTATTGATGGGTGGGTTGCTATTGATGGGTGGGTTGCTATTGATGGGTGGGTTGCTATTGATGGGTGGGTTGCTATTGATGGGTGGGTTGCTATTGATGGGTGGGTTGCTATTGATGGGTGGGTTGCTATTGATGGGTGGGTTGCTATTGATGGGTGGGTTGCTATTGATGGGTGGGTTGCTATTGATGGGTGGGTTGCTATTGATGGGTGGGTTGCTATTGATGGGTGGGTTGCTATTGATGGGTGGGTTGCTATTGATGGGTGGGTTGCTATTGATGGGTGGGTTGCTATTGATGGGTGGGTTGCTATTGATGGGTGGGTTGCTATTGATGGGTGGGTTGCTATTGATGGGTGGGTTGCTATTGATGGGTGGGTTGCTATTGATGGGTGGGTTGCTATTGATGGGTGGGTTGCTATTGAGCTATTATTCATTGATCTAAAAGCCCACTAAGCAGGATCCAGAACACGCAGGACGTCTGCAGCGTGCTGGCTCCTCTTAAATCAAATAGGAAGTTCTGACGCTGAATGCAGCAGGGTGGCGATTGGAAAAGCAAAAATGATATCTTCTGTGAAGTGGAGCAGAAGAATCCTCAATGGTGTCAGTCGATAGATTCGGATCTGTCATTTGCCATACACAAACTCCAACAACTTTCAGCTACGAGTGGATGAATGTTGTGGACAGGGACCTTAGGGGAAACGCCTTTTGTAGTCTACCACGCTGATGTGCCATTTAATCTTTCGTACATGTATGATATGAACAGTCCCTCTGTGCACGTGGCGTGTTGCCGCTTTTGTCATGATGTGCATGACGGACAAGGAGAGTTCGTTTTTTTCTTGACTCGTGGGAAACGTTCCTTTCCTGTCTCCTAGCTTGTTAACTCCATAGTACAAAGACTCAAAAGCGCTGCGCGGATAATTGCGGTCATCCGACGCCTAAGGCCAGAAAATAGCATTTTTTTTGAAAGCGAGAAGTTGTCCCATGAAATTTCGTTAGGCGACGAATCGCCCCAAAAAAATTGATTGTATCATAGACAATCCCCACACATGACTCTTTAGTAAAAGGCGAAAGGGTCGTATGCTTTGTTAGGATTGCAGAATGTTGTTATTGTAACAACACTAAACCTCTTAGCCAGCTGGCACGCATCACGAATGGAACATGCTTGGTACAGTTCATGTACCTATCGTTAAGGAGTCCCCTGGGAACGACTATGAATGCCAAGATATCAGTGAGACCGATTCGCGTTGCCGAGAACTCGTAGCATTCAATGTGATTTCGCTTGCTTGAATGTTTTTGCGATCCTTGCGTGATCCTTGGTTTGATCAGCAATTTGCTGGCCCCACCTCAAGAACCACTTCCACCAAGAAGTTTTGAACGCAGCACGAAGGAGCATAGTGCACATGGACACTTGCACATAGTGCACTGTGCCAATACATAAATGCTCAGATAAGTACCTTGGTTAAGATGGACAATGGAGAGTCGAGGAACCTTCACCGATTGAAGAACCACAGCCTCGGAGCAGAAGAAGCTGGTGGAATGTGCGATCTGCCACCGCAAGCCGAACAGCAGGCGCTTCTCAAGACACCTGTGCATTGACTCCTAAGGAACGGCAATCCAAGATCAGTGGAAGCGACTTCTGGTATGGATGAAACCGATGGTTAAGCAAAGACTGTTAGGCCAGCACGCCAACGATTCATCCGAGTGACTCTTAATTTGTTGCTTTTGCGTAACACACTTGAAAAAAACACAATTCGAATTTCGCGACGGAAATTATCATTGCTGTTGCCGTGCTGGCTCCTCTTAAATCAAATAGGAAGTTCTGACGCTGAATGCAGCAGGGTGGCGATTGGAAAAGCAAAAATGATATCTTCTGTGAAGTGGAGCAGAAGAATCCTCAATGGTGTCAGTCGATAGATTCGGATCTGTCATTTGCCATACACAAACTCCAACAACTTTCAGCTACGAGTGGATGAATGTTGTGGACAGGGACCTTAGGGGAAACGCCTTTTGTAGTCTACCACGCTGATGTGCCATTTAATCTTTCGTACATGTATGATATGAACAGTCCCTCTGTGCACGTGGCGTGTTGCCGCTTTTGTCATGATGTGCATGACGGACAAGGAGAGTTCGTTTTTTTCTTGACTCGTGGGAAACGTTCCTTTCCTGTCTCCTAGCTTGTTAACTCCATAGTACAAAGACTCAAAAGCGCTGCGCGAATAATTGCGGACATCCGACGCCTAAGGCCAGAAAATTGCATTTTTTTTTGAAAGCGAGAAGTTGTCCCATGAAATTTCGTTAGGCGACGAATCGCCCCAAAAAATTGATTGTATCATAGACAATCCCCACACATGACTCTTTAGTAAAAGGCGAAAGGGTCGTATGCTTTGTTAGGATTGCAGAATGTTGTTATTGTAACAACACTAAACCTCTTAGCCAGCTGGCACGCATCACGAATGGAACATGCTTGGTACAGCTCATGTACCTATCGTTAAGGAGTCCCCTGGGAACGACTATGAATGCCAAGATATCAGTGAGACCGATTCGCGTTGCCGAGAACTCGTAGCATTCAATGTGATTTCGCTTGCTTGAATGTTTTTGCGATCCTTGCGTGATCCTTGGTTTGATCAGCAATTTGCTGGCCCCACCTCAAGAACCACTTCCACCAAGAAGTTTTGAACGCAGCACGAAGGAGCATAGTGCACATGGACACTTGCACATAGTGCACTGTGCCAATACATAAATGCTCAGATAAGTACCTTGGTTAAGATGGACAATGAAGAGTCGAGGAACCTTCACCGATTGAAGAACCACAGCCTCGGAGCAGAAGAAGCTGGTGGAATGTGCGATCTGCCACCGCAAGCCGAACAGCAGGCGCTTCTCAAGACACCTGTGCATTGACTCCTAAGGAACGGCAATCCAAGATCAGTGGAAGCGACTTCTGGTATGGATGAAACCGATGGTTAAGCAAAGACTGTTAGGCCAGCACGCCAACGATTCATCCGAGTGACTCTTAATTTGTTGCTTTTGCGTAACACACTTGAAAAAAAACACAATTCGAATTTCGCGACGGAAATTATCATTGCTGTTGCGGATATATTTCGATTTTTTGCAATTCCCGTGCGATTGTTTTTCTGATCTTCTGATCGAGCTGGTTTTGATCTAATATCCTCCAAAATCGATCTTGATCCTTTAATTCGACGCTTCGGATGAAAATGCTATAATGAGTTGTGAGTTTGACGCAGCAGGATCGGCAGACGGACTTGAACTGAACCCGTTCAAGACTGAACGCCTTGAGTTGGGATCGGACAAGATTCACTAAAACGGGACTTGGGACTAGACGTGAGGGATGGGATGTACTGGAGAAGGGAACTTCTGGCGCTTCACCTATTGGGGGGAAAGAATGGGCGTCAGATGAAGAGAGAAGCAAACTGGGAGAAAGAGGAAAAGGGGACGACGAAGAATCTGGGAGATTGGAAGGTTGGGGTTCAGACGGTTGGGATGAAGATTGAGAGCTAGATGAATGAGAAGCAGAAGATTGGGAAGGGACTTCAGCATCTTCTGATACTCGAGTCAATGACGATGGACGATTTCGAGTTGCATTTTCTGGAGGGATCAACCAAGGAGGTGAAGGAAGATCTAGACGAGGACGTTTACGTCGACCATCTTCTCCTAAACTCGAACTTCTTAGTCTGATGTTACGACGATTAGAATGACTTGAAGAGGTAGTAATTACAAATCCCGTTGAAGGAATATTTTGATTGCTACTCGACGATTGACTACTTTCACTCGGATGGTCGATAGATTGATCACCAAGTGAAGATTCTATTTCAACAACATTTTCTGTGTTTCCTTCAAGCAAAGAATCTAAAAATTCCCTTCCACTGGCTACACCTCCATCTTCTCTTCTGCTTGAAAAACGGCTTGTCCCAAATGTTGCATGTCCCAGAACTTCCCGCTCGTACAGTTCCATTTCAGCAAAATCACAAGGAACTCCCCTTAAGGGTGGCGGGCCAGGCGCCTCGTCCAGACTCAGTTCTTGGATTGCTTCTTCTTCTTCTTCAAGCGAAGTTCGGCGTCTAGATCCTTGAAGTCGCAGTTCATCCCTTGGTGCAGCTTGGGCTTCCACGGGCGCCGGAAGTCGAGCAGTAGGAACGTTTCTCCGTCGACCTCCTCTTGTTCGCCTCTGTCGTTCCGGGGCTTCTGAACGTCGTTGCGATTCTCGCGCCCGTCGAGGAGAAACTTTTTTCCGATTCGAGTCTAGGTGTCGGTAGAGGTCTAGAAAAAGTCGAAGTGCCGCAGCATTTAGCGCTAGCGTCTCCGTTGGAGCCTCTTGGATTGAAGGAAGCTGAAAGGCAGTTGTTAGGGAGCGGCCATCCACACTTCTCTCGCCATCAGCATTGATACAGCGATTTTTGCGAATGCACGTTGGACAAAACCACTCTTTCTGGCTTGTTGGAGGTCCCAATCCCAAACAGCTTCGATGACAGGACTCATCACAATGACCATTCCACCCTTCACATTGAAGAAGATCATTTTCTGAAATCGTCATTGGAAGATAATTCGAATGGCGACGAAAATAAATGACTATAAACCCGACCTGTTCCAGCGTCCAACCGCTGACATATGAAACAGGGATTTCGAGATTCTCCCGGATCGCTCGACTCAGCTTCTGCTTCACCTTCTTGATATGCTGGTTTTTGATTGATTTTTTTGACATATCGATATCGCTTCCTTCGTCCACTTCTGTCATATACACAGATCACTCGAAATCGAAGTTTACATTGAGGACATGAATTTTCTCTAGCAGACCACCGAACAATACATTCAAAATGAAATGCATGTTTACAAGAACTGATTAATCCAATCCATTGATTCGAGTCATCTGTATTATCCAGAAGAGTCGATTCTCTAGTCGAGTTTAAATCATTCCGAAGAGGATCCTCCATCGAGACGGGAGTATTCCTATCAGTCTCCCTTTGAACGCCAACTTTGCGACGACTTCTTCTTTTCGGTTCTGCATCTGAGTGAGTTGTGATTGGGTCTGGGATGCAATCACCGCTTCCGTCTGTTTGATTCGTAGAAAAATCATTTCTCTCTGATCGTAACGCAATCCGAAAAACTGGTGGAACTAAGGGGGCATCGTCGTCATCTTGGGTACTGGAAAACTCATGAAGGCGGTCGTCATCTTGGATACTAGAAAACTCGTCGGAATTGCCATCTGTGCTGCGTGGTGCATTGGAACTGCCGGACAGTTGACCCGCATCAGCACTGAGACCTTCGAAAGTCTCTGGGGTATCTGAACTTGTGCTACTTGAGCTTCTTCGTTGCTCATCATCACTTTCTATGAAATCGAGTAAACAGCAACAGCAAGTTGCAGCCAATCCTAAGCACGCTATAGGGATGAGTGGCGGGAAGAGGACCTTTTCTATCAGACTCTTGGAAGGGCGTCCAGTTGTGGGATGAACAGTTGGCTCGACAGCTTCTTCATTTCTTGGTTCTTTATTCCGCGCTGATGCCAGAGAAACACGAATTTCATTCCATTTGAAGTTTTCAGTAAGAAATGAAGGAGACAAGACGCTCATTGGTCACCATTCTATTAAATCAGGTCTGTAGGAAAGCAAAACTGATCCGCCACTGACCCAGGGACGCGCTGAAGCAAAGAGGATCTTGTTCGCCACCGCTTGTTCCACTAGAAATCAGCATGGATGACCCAGAACCGACCGACAAATCGATCGATGGGGCCAGTGATATTGAGGCAAACGCACTTCAGACGGATTTCGACGACGAACTTCCTTCGGATGGCGAGGGATGGGAGTCCACGCAGGATGGGGTTGCGCAGGGAATGTTCGTACCAGGTGGGCTGTCGACTTTTATGGAGATGAATCGATATCGTTGTGCTTGAGTGTCACACATCGTCTATTTCATCCAGAGCTGAAAGCTCGCGCTAAGATCTCTCTGACGCTGAGACATTGGTACTCTCTTGTCCGCTCCGAGTATGTTGATCTCATCAGTCAGCTTGGCGGATCCTCTGGAGCTTTTCTTGTTCATGCGGAGTCCTTGATTTTACGATTTGCATTGGACAAAGAATACCGTACGGACTTT